CCATACTGAGAGTTTGGAATAGATAGAAAGTAAGATTGACTCCTAAAATACCTTTGTGGTTGTCACCTCAAGAATAAATATTGGGAGATGATCTGTATTCTGATTCAAACAGTTTGGATATAAATGGATATAAAATTGAAACCAGAGACTTTCCTTTTAGGTATGACAGATAAACAGATTGAAAGAAAACATAGGAGTTTACTTCTTTATATGGTAACAGCAGCGCAAAAATGGAAAGACTTACAAATATCCACAACATAAGAATGGATATTGAAATTAATGGAACCTGCAGAGCTGGTGAAACTGGCGATTTTGACGAATGAAAGGACATGGTGTACCTTTGTTTCTAGTTGGAACCACTTCAGTAGCTCGATAGCAATGGTTTCTGTCATACATAAAATGTCTCTTGCGCTTTTAATTCTGTTTAATGTTCCTGGCAGCTGAAGCCCTCACATGTAAGTTAGGGACTCTCATTCCATGTTACTGGAGACAGCAAATACTGATTATAAGTTTCTTTTATATGACATGTATTCTTATCTTCCTTGTGACTATACAACGTTTGCCATTTAGGAAAGTTTGAACTCATTACCATTGTTATCATGATAGAATTGCAGAACTGGAAGGACACGTTTAGGCTATCACATTCTACCTATTGTCCACTGCAGGAATACAAATTAAAGCCTCTTCAACAGAGGGATGTCTAGCCTCCCTTTGAACAGAGAGAAGGGGAAGCCACCCTTTCTCTGGCGAACTGGTTTCATAACCAAAGGTTCCTTGGTAAGATTGAACTAGAATTTGCCTTAAAATTCAGCCCCGTTATTTCACATCCTGCCCTGTGATATAGTGGCAAGGAGGTCTTGACTTGAATATCCTAGCATGATGAGGAAAATAATTATTCAAGTGTGATCACTATGACTTGGTTAATTGTATTCCTCATCCTGCCAGAATATTTTACTAGGTTAATACATTTGTCCATAACTATGGAACAAAGAAAAAAAAGAGTATTATCTTACTTATTACTGGTTGATTATTTGGAATGAAATACCTTACGGAAATAATCTTCTCGAAGCCAAAACGCATTTGTCCAAACAGTCCCAATGAGAGGCAGAGCCAAAGGACCGGGAGGCAGATGTCTTCGGGACCAGAGTTGTTTCAGGAAGAACAGAGTCAGCAGAGCAAGCAGCAGAGGAAGCAGAAATACCCCGATCTCCATCATTGTGCTGCTGGTTCCTTCTCTTTGAGGCTCTCTAGTTGATCTGGAGGTGGTTCTATCCCTTTCTCTGCAGGTTTTTGCTGTTCTTCCTGTTCTATATACTTCATGGATTGGAAGCAAATAGCAATATGACTTTTGATGCTCTATCCAATTAGGACTGGGATTTATCAACAAGATGCTATCGTAGTAATTCACATTAATGAGGTTACTTCTGGCATTCTGTCATTCAAATAGCAGAGGAAGAGTTTTTTTCTTTTAAAATCAAGGGCTGTTTCACCCAATTTGTCACTAAGATGATATTTTGCCAGAATTAATTGAAAATAATGGTGTACCCACTGTCCATGAAATTTACCTGAACATAAAGGACAGTCTTGTTGGGTCCCAGATCTCTTATCTAGTCCAGTATTATGTCTCAAGCATCCCCTTGGAAGCCCATAATCAGGACATTATCAAGGAAAAAAACAAAACAAAGCAAAACCAAGAACACCCTCATACATCTTCACCTGTCAATAAGGGGACATCTTCATGACGGCTTTCTACTGCATGAGAACCATTTCTGGATCTGTGCACTTGATCAGCCTTTTGCAAATGAAACAAGTGGAACCATCATGCTATTGAGGAGGGGCTGTTGCAAAAGATTCTGCAGCAGCTCTTATTGATTAAAAGGTTGGGTGCTTAATCCAAGCATCAAATTATAGGGAGAGAACTGTAGATGCTTAGCGATACCTACTGAACAACGATGTCACCACCCCAGCTGCCTAACTCATGAGCATATCTGAAAATGATCTACCCTCAAGCCTTAGCAGGAAGAATTGCCCAACTCTGAAGCATCATTAAACCCAACAGAGATCAGGTAGCCATCCTTCATGATATTGTGTTTTACCTTATGGCCCAATATTTGTATGATTCCTTTTATTCCTTTCAACCAAATTATGGATTGCCTTGATGTCTGTCACTCTGAGCACAGCCTGAAAGATGAAACTTTTAAAGATTTCTTTCCTTCTTCTTTTTTTTTTGAAGCTCACAACAGCCCTTGTTCCTGAGCACCAGGTGTTTTGTTTTCTCCTTGGGTACACCACAGAGCTCTAGGAATTCTAGGGGTTCACTTGGTTTCAATGTCATTCCACAAGTATCCTTTCCTAGGAGCACTTTTGTTGTAAATCGGGTGCCAGGCCCATGCCTCCAGCATAAGGATCTCCCATTTCTCTCCTGAAATTGCTTTGCTGCTTGTTATTCATTTACTGATTTCCTTAATGTATAAGTTGCCTCATTCACCAAAGTGACCCTTGTTGGTACAGAATACATCACTTTCTATCACTAACTGCTTTTGCGCCACCCCACAGTGCAAGTCCTGCTGTGCTGCTTCATCATGGCAGGAGGGTATTCCCGGGAGGGATGAGCAAAGAACATTGGGATTTTATCCAAAAAGTATGTATTCCCAGCATGGTCACCAAAGGCGTGAAGGTCGTCCCAGATGCCAGCTAAAGCAAGCAGGCGCCTATATTGGGCAGCAGAGATTTAGGAAGATGGTGGAGGGAGATGATCACTTTAGAGACAAAGGGAAAGGCATCAATTCATACTAGGCAGGAGAAGGCAATGGGAAATCACTCCTTTATTTATTTACCAAGAAACCACGTGGACAGAAAATATTAATTTACGTATTTACTTAATTTACAAGTTGTCTTAACAACCAAAGTCACTCTAGATGATATGCAGTCCATGAAAACATAAAAAGTAAAAGGAGCAATAAGAAATATCACAAAAACATTTTAAACTACCATATTGGGAAGGAAAACACCACAAGTACCAAAGAATTAAAATCAGGGTGGGGTTGCAAATCACCCTGCTCCACAGCCTGCTGAAAGAGCCAAATTATTATAGCCTTCTGAAATGACAGCTGGGTCAGAGCCATGTGGACTTCTGCAGGAACTCTTCTCCCAGGGGGAGGTATGGCCAAGGGAAAGATATCTCTCCTAGATCCCTCATGATGACAGAATCTTTTCAGTGGGACCTACAACAACCTTTAACCAACTCTTAGATCTAATAGGATGGGCAGATGTAGATAATTGGAGTATGACATTCTTGCAGAAATCGAGGCACCCAGGGAATTGCATCCAGATGCTGACTGGCAGCCACTGCAAAAATGTTCTCAGTTAAAGTAAGTAGCCCATCACTACCTGTGGCATTCCACTGGATTCTTCCCCCTCCTCAAAACAGCTGAAGTGGAGTCATGAATTTGCACTCTTTGGGTACAGTCACCCAGCCCATAAACAGCTGTACAATTTAGCCCATATTTTGCCATTTTATGGGTGAGCTCATCATGAAGACTTGATCACATGCTTTGCTGATGTTAAAGAACACAACGTCTAGGGCATTCTCTGATGCATTTTAGAAAAATTGTTTCAGAAAATTGATATGGCTGCCCATCTTACCTACGTACTCTGGGTGGCTGGCTACAATGAACAAAAAACAAAATCTCTATAAATCAAGCAAGAAACAGGATTAAACTAAATCATCATAATGCAATAAGCAAGGCACTTTCTAAAAGACACAGTAACACAAACCACACCTATTTTGGGCTCAGATAGCATTCTGGCCCAGTGCCTGGAGGAAAGCCAGGTCTTCACAGCTTTCTTGAAGGCCATCAGGGTCAAAGCCCTCCAGATCTCCCTTCTTCCGCTTCTTATGTACTTATTTAGCTAATAAGTATCAAAAAAGGAGATAAGGTTAGTCTGATGTAAGACGTCTGTGGCCAAGCTATGCTGGTTCTTGTCAATTAATGCATGACTATTCAAGTGCTGACAAAGATGCTTTTTGATAATCTATCTGAAGATCTTGTCCAGTATAGAGGTCAAGCTGACAGCGTCAAGTGGACGGTAGTTTGCGGGGTCCCCCGTCTTTCCCTTTATGAAGAGATAACGAAACTTCTTCCAATCTTCTGAGGCCAAATCAGTTCTTCAGGAAGCCTGATAGATTACAGTTAGGCATTTGTGATCACCTGCACCAGTGCCAGATTTAGGCGTAAACTAAACAAGGTACAGCTTATGGCCTCACAATCTGCAAGTCCTCACAACTTTTCAGAATATCAGTTTTCTGATTTTGCAAATGAGTTCATTATTACCTATATAAATAAAAGCTATTTGGATTCTTATTTTGGCAGCATTTTGTATATATATTAATATATCTAAAAATTATTCTAAACTGTGGAGTCCCTGGAGTTCTCTGAGCTTGGCTGTTTTTTTGCAAACGTTTCATTACCCGGCTAGGTAACATCTTCAGTTTAAAATAATTTTGAAAACTACGTTGAATATATTAGGGATATTCTGTATCTAGCATATACTAAATTACAATCTAGGGGAGAGATCAAGCCAGCCTAATGATACATGTCTAATAAGTAAATGCATTCATTTGAAAATAATTTGTATTTTTTCCTTTAGATATCTTGCATTTAAATAATTAAAGGGCATATATATGTTTTCCAATTTTTGGTGGCAACCCAAGGTCCTTAGGCACCTTAGTGAGGCCTTCTGGTGTAACGTTTTAACAAGCGGCCTTCAAGCTTTATATAGCTTAGGGCCTCCCCAAGTCTAAATCCAGCCCTGCACTACCTACTTCCATACTCTAGCATGTAATTCATCTGACCCGGGAGGCTTGAATTCATTGAATTTAGCAAAGTG